ATCTACACTGCAGAATTTCCATTGTTAATTTTTTGTATGAAGGGATTAAGATGACATGAAACAAAATTAAATTTTAAACTTCATTATTTGGATTTGATTGATAAGTAAGAATAAAATTACTTTCCCGCTTTATTCAATAGGTCATGTGAATATTTCTAAGTTGGCAGTATTCCTTTAAACTTTTTTGTTCTTTTTTTGAAACCTCTTTTCCATAGACTCCATCATAGTCCTCTCAATCAGGGCGAACAATCACCCCCATGTCTCGAAGGTGCACTTCCAGAAACCCACGCCTAAAGTTGGCCTGAGCCTACAGCAACTGTCTTCTGGAGTCATGCTCCAGCTTTGGCAGATGAACTACCTCTATGCCAGTTGGCCTGAAATTGAGTTTTGTAATGCAGCATTACTTATAAGAGCCTTAATGGCCATTTTACTACCCAAATCAAATTTACCCAGCCAAAAACTGAGGAATGACTAGATTGTGTAGCTCATTTTATATTCTAAGCCACATCAAGGTTGTGCATCTCTGAACAGTCCATTTATGCTCCTATATTTGAGAACCCCTCTTGGCTTGATGGGCATTGTTTTTCTCATTGGTCAGACCTACATACTATCAAGGATCTCTTCATTAACAGTTTTACTCAAATTCATTTTCAGTTTCCTCTCTCTCCTGTAGGAATGCACCGATTTTGCGACCAAGATAGAAACCATGATTCAAACACACATCTCGTATTACGATTCAGGACGATGTCCTAACCCTGATCCCTCTGCTAGTGCTGCACTTTGGACTGTGCTTCTTCAAGACAACCAAACAAACATGGAGGAGAGTGAACATGACACAGGCTGGGGTAAGTCCCAACGGGAGGAGCATTCTGTCCAGCCAAGACAAACAAGGAGTTCCTGAAGGACGACTCATTGAAATAGTTTGGGTATGAAAATCATGTCCAACTTTATGTAGAGTCTATGTTAGCCACAAAACAAAACAATCTCCAAACTCACAGCACAAATCACGAAGATGGAAGGAGATAGTGGCCCCTGTTGTGTACAAACACATGACTACAATTTACATGGTCAAAAAAAATGGTACGAGCAATGGATGTGTATCGTTATCTGGATATGAAATTACCTCTATCGCCTTATCATTTGGTCACTTTTTTGCCATCTACGAATTAGAAATGTCAAAATCTTACTTTGATAGGTTTCCCAAAGAGCATGACTTTTATGGCTTTATGACTAGATCCCCTTTCTCCAAACTTAATTTCACTTTTTTCTTTGACAAGCCCAGCTCCCTATATTAAAGAGGTATGGATTAAGAATACTGAAGAGGGGAATTCGGTTGAGTTATGGGCTAAAGGGTTGGATGGGTTCAAAGCGTGATCTATCAATGCCACACTTCAACTTATTCAGTTTAAAGTCATCCACTGCCTGCAATTTTCCTAGACTAAATTAATTTTTTTCTTCTGTCTCTGCTACCTCTGATAAATGTAAGTCTCATGACAGGACCCCAGGTCATTTTTTTTCTTGCTTAAGAGTTACTGCAATGACATTTTTTCATTTGTACAGCAACATATAGCAGACAGTCAATCCCTGAAAGTGTCTTTAAGATATCGGGTCGCTCCAATTGCTCTTCTCCCCCTTACAATAAGCCCTGAGGGTTGGTATGGTCACAGCAAGAAGGGTTGTCCGGAGAGAATGGAAATCATTTTCCCCTCCTCTGCTTTAAAATGGCTAAGTGACATGGTTTCTTGTTCATACCTTAAAGGTTATCACTGTATTGTATGGTACTCGACCGTTTTTCTGCTTTGATCCATCAGTATTTTAACTCTCTGGCCTTTATTCTTGGGCCATTATCGACCTCACTTGGTCTTGGTTCCATGGACGAATGGATTTCTAACCATCAATCCACGTTTGGATATTTCAGTCATTGTTTGGACTGACATGAGCATTTACACTTTTCAACTTTACAGCTCTGTGTAAAGAGTATCTGAGAACCTAAACGTTCATGTCTAGAGGAGGAGTTAGCAGTTTTCCTTGTTAAGCAGCTATAGATCACGGTGGCAAATATTGTTGAAAGGCTTTTTAACACAGCAATGTGAGTAAATGCCAGGAGGGTAAACTCACTGGAGTCTGGATGGTACAATCAATAAGGAATTACACTGAGAAATATTGTTTTATGAAACACTGTGACTGGATCATGGATTTTACATTTGTCTCTAGGTGCTAATGTGCTACTTTATAGGTTTCAGATTAATGTTATTTAAAAAGGAAGAGGTGCATCCCTTTACAGCACAAATTTCAACTGCATCTGCTCAGCTTTCACCTAACAGCTGCTGTTCAGATTGTCCTGCAATATGATGTGCATCAAATAATCATCTATATTGTGACTGTTAACAGCAAACACAAACCTCAGGCGCACATAAAAAACATTCAAATGAACAACTGCGTATAACGGTGTGCTCAGCTGCGGTGTACAAAGAGCAAAATTTGATTTAGCCTGGTGTTACTGTTCCTGTATATATGCTGGAGTGCAATGTGGCCCTTACGTGATTAGCCTCCTGTGTGAAATGTGATTTGTTTGGGTTAATCTACGTGTAATTATTCTCCTGAAGCAAACGTGAAACATGCTTGAACAATCCTTGCGGTTAAACTGCAGGAGCATCTCCTGTTACACTTGACTGTTTCGGGGATGAAGCATTAAATTCAATACTTTAACATCACATGGGTGTTTTAGTCCAGCAAACCACTTTGCCATGTCACTTCCATCTGTGCTCTCCTCCCTCCCTCCGTCCCTCCCTCGCTTCTCTTTCATGTGACTGTTCTGCCACTGTGACAGGGACCATTCTGTCTTGCAGCCAGACAGACAGACAGCACATATAGTTGGCTGCCTACAGGTGAGGGTCGCTCAGATCTACACAAAAACATATGAAAAGACGAAACGAGTCGAGGAGCCGTCTGACAGAAACTTACATCCACAACAGTCACTTAAGCCAGGGAGCTGAGGTGACCTTCTCAGATTTCATTTCAGTTGGTCTTTTTTTCTCTCTCTCACTCTCTCTCTTCCCAGAACAAGTGAGTAATTAGAGCAGAAACATTTCCCCACACACCCAGGCTGTCTGAGTGCAGAGCTGCTTTTGTGCCTGTCTGCATGCAGGCAGGCTTCAATAAAACTGTTATTGCAAACATTACCGTCTTCATCTTTAAGAGCTTTTGCTCTGGTTTCGTTGCTCGTGTGCAAAAGCTGAGGAACCGGGCGATCTTAATACATGCGCTAAGATTATCCATGTTGCCATGTGCAGTGAGTCATAATATTGTGAGTGTCATTTGAGAAAATGTGGTCACTGTGCGTTAGCATTGATGTACTGTATCCTTCCCTCACAGAGAGCAGTTTAATTTCACTTGGGAACATGAACACGGGGCTAGCCAGACACACTAAAACCAAGTATTGATCACTGAACACAATCAACAAGGAGGGTCAATTTTCTGGGACCTACCTCTAACTTCAGTTTGTCTTTTTGTCAATCAACTGGCAGGGGTGTAATTCCTAGGGGGAATGGGAGGGCATGACCTCTGTACTTTGTGCAGTATTAGTGGTATTTAAAAAAATAAAAAAACTTGCCTTTTCTACTTGTTTTCCTCATATTTCACAAGCTAGCTTGCTAAATAACACACACCAGTGATCCTATTGTGATGGGGAGTTCAGTTGGTTAATTGATTGTCACTAATATGAAAGCTTTGTGCCACACCGCCTACCTCTTCTTGTGTGTGACTGCTACTTTGCAAAGCTGCTGTGGCTCGCACATACAGTATGTGGTGATCACACTGACAGCACTGCCAGCCCCGTCTCTCTACATGGACTTTGCCTTGATATTGGCGAATAATAATAGGGCATTTCATCCAATTTATTTTATTTCTTATTCGGACTGAGCAAGAGAGAAAGAGAGTGCACCGGAAACTGCACCTCCACATTGAGCATAGGGCCAAGGCTACACCAGATACTCTGTTCACTTATTAACATGATATAATAATGGCCTGAATGGGATGACATTACTGACCCCTTGCACTACAGTTTCAATGTCTGTCACTGTAAAAAAATATATAGCATGTAGGGCTTTTTCACCATTTTAGCAGATCCATGTTATTAAAGAAGAGATAGCAGAAACCCTATGTAGGCTGTAATTACATTAGTCAGAGAACAGCAGTAGTTTCTTGGTTTGGTTTTTTTCATTCATGCATTTCAATATCACTACATAAATTATGATAATAATGAGAAAAATGTAGAAAAATCTAAATACATGGTTGTTGTTTTTTTCTACCTCAGGTGAAAAGAAAAAATGCCCATTAGAGAATGTGTGTCTGTATTAACTGCCCCCCCCCCCGCACACACACACGCACTCACACACACTCACACACTGCTTTGAAATTTAAATTCTGCCCCTGCTGCCAGATACAGCCTAATGAACAGACATGAGCATGAACATAAAAGCCTGTGATAACTGCACATATATTCCTGACTGATACTATTTTGACTTTGCTCTATTGTTTTCCTTGTTTGAGATATAAAAGCCATCTTCTTCGGGTTCACACCTTCCTGACCCACATTAAAAGGGTCCATTAACACATAAGTTGCAGTATGAGGAGTTTTAAGTGTGATAAGAGGAATCAAAGGCAGTGCTCTTATGAATATGATTCCTTTTTTTTATCGTTTATCATCGACTGACGAGCACATATAGTTTATCCATCCTTCCTCAGCACCACAGCAGTGCGCGCAGTCAACGCTTTTGCCTCCGTGATGCAAAAAAAGTGATGAAAAAACAGAGGTCGAGCAAAAGGCAAAGACAAATACGTTTAATAAGCTAATCTTTAAAGTTACAGGACTAAATACGAGCCAAACCACTTTACCACTGTCGCGCGTCAGTCATACAAACAACGCCCATCTTCATCGAGGGAAATTAAGCAAAGAAGATGAGGAGGAGGAAGAGGCAGTTTCCCTTTTTTGCCCTTACCGTCGAAGACCTTGAAAGGACGACGGCCACGACATCCTGGATTTCTTCAGCCCGGGTCGGTGCCCGGTGTCCACTGCGTAAGTCCGATCCATGTTCCTCGGGTTGAGATATCTCTCGGTGTCCGAAAAGCCTCTTTGTCTCACGCGGTCGTTCTTGCGCACTACCAACGCGTGGTGGTGGAGCGGAGAGAGCGCAGCCTGGTTCTGCTGCCGCCACAGATGTTTGGGCGCCTTCGCACCACTCACGCCGCCGGTTCCCCCGCCGGCGACTAAAGACCCCGACCCCACTTTCCCGCAAACCGGCTCCATCCTCCTCACCACGTTGTTTGTTTTTTATTTTTAAATAAAGACTTTACTTTAAAGGCTCTCAAATCTGGTGACCCCGGGGGGAAAGGTGATACGAAGCGTGCGTAATACCTCTAAAACACCCCGGAGGTTAAAGTACAACCGCAGAAGTGATAGAGAACTTTTTATAAGTTACTCTGCGTGCTTCATGTCCAGTTTGTTTTTTGTAAATCACGCACCGACTCCAACTCCATCAACTTTATCGTCTCTGTCCCACAGAGACAAACAGGAGTCCACTTAGGCATCACGAGCTAGAGCCTCCGTGACGAAGAGGAACTCTCAAATACTGAGTTTGGTGTCCAAGTGCTCCCAGTTTTCTCCGTGCACGCCCATTTCAGCAAGGTCCTGGTGCTGCAGTGCAAAGGACAGTCCACGCGGCGGGATGGGTCCTTTCACGCAGTAAGACACAAACTTCCGTGAAGCCCCCGCGGCTGTCACCTAACTTGATGCACGGTGGGCTATGTGTAAAACCGCCCAGTCATGTCAACACCGTCCCTCCCTTTCTCCAGTCCCCTGCAGGAACAGGCGGCGACAGGATATAGGGAACAGGATAATGCATTAAACATGAGGGACCCACCCAAAGCACCTCCCCTGTAAAGCAGGAGGTGGGAGTGGGTGGAGAGCCATAACAGCATGGAACCAGTCGTCTGATCCAATCATCCCAATTTAATCCAGGTTTATCCCAATATATAAGGTTTGTAGGGCTGTAGAAGTGGAAATACACTGGATGAATTGTCCAAATTAGGACTGTATTTTCAAAATGAGACATTAAACGCATTTACTTTGTTACTGTACTTGATTTACATACATCAGCAAATATCTGTACTTTCTACTCATCTAGATTTTTGCAAACAATTACTTTACATGGTCCACTCATCCATTCAGTGAAGACAGGTAACATTAGACTCCACTTCCTTCAAGAAGAGCAGAACACACCTGCAGAAGCACAGAGGCCACCGCTGAAACTCAGCCATAATGATGCAGTATATCGCCTTAGGGAGAAAAATAATGTAGTACTTTTACCTCAGCATGTTTGGGTACTTGCTCCACCACTGAACACACTGCAGGTAAAATAAGCTCATCTCTGCAGTGATACATTAAACTGAGTGTATTTTACATGTTGTGTGTCTGTGGCTGTGATGTCTATAGGAGTGCAAACACCCAGCTGCCTTGTTACACTTCTCCTCCTCGGTTGTGATTGAAGAGAGGAGTGCTCTCCTTCCCTCCTCTCCTCCACACTTCCCTCGCAGCTCAAGTCTATTACTCTGGACACTAACAGTGTGGGGAATTAAATCTCTCCAGCTTTAACAGCAGAAATGCAATCTTGTCAGAAACCAGGTGATTGAAAACAGAAGTGGCAGGTAAGTGTAACGGTGGACGGACAAAACACACACACTATGAGATTCGGAGCCCATGCCTGCACATGTGCGCGGGTGTGAGTGAGAGACTTTGTGTCGGTCCAACTTTACCTACAATGATGTTAACCATACACTTTTCAGGGCTGAAAAAAAGGGGAAAAGATATTTTGAAACAGTTCCTACAAGGTTCAAATTTCCAAAAACTTGGAATTGAAATTCAACTTTAAACTTTGACCCACGCTATGGGCTTCGCTTTTGTGCATGTGTGACCAGGCCCTTACTCTACAACGATAACAAATCTGAGGACCTGCTGACTTTCTCCCATTTGAGCCATCAGACGCAACAGAAACCAATAGAACCGCATTCGATGTTCAACCTCATTTGACGACTTCGTTTCCGCACACTCATCCTCAGGGCTGAATCTGAGATTGTTTTTTTATGAAAATGTGGACAGAGACGCAGTGATACAGACACAAGGTCATCGGGAGGACTGCATCCCAGCATGCACTGGGATTTACCTTCACCAAACAATACACAAGACAACACACATGTACAACTTTATTTATTTCGCATACCCAGTATAAATCCTTACCCCAGTGAACCTTAAACAACTGTTGACATGTAAATCTAAAAATGTGAGCTCTTTAATCTCAGGTGTATTATCCTTTCTACTTGTGTTGACTTAGGCTCTTAATTTGAAATGAGAGAGTAATGGCTGAGATAAGGAGCGTTCAATAATCAGAGATTCCACCTGATTGCTTTCGACGCAAACACCAACCTTATTTACCGGAGCAGGTAAACAATCAAACGTGGTCAACTCACATTAAACACTCTCTCTCTCAACACAGTTGTTTTAAATATAGACACACGTCTTTACTTTGTAGCCTCATGTTACCCTGCACACGTAAACCAATCAATTCCAACCATAGAAATACTACATGAGACTCCTGGGATCACCGTTTTGAACATAAGAAATATCTTGCTACGTTCCCTCATGTCTGTGATACTGGTGCTGCCATTGTCAGGGTAAATTTAAATCTGAACACTTTGTCACATATTAACATCCGAGTGAACATCTGTGGACAGCATCAGTCAGTTGATTTGTTGGTGTTTTGGTAATGAGTTGTGCTCTTATGTGAGCCCTGGAATGTAATTATAAAATTACCTTTCCTCATTTTAATTAAAAGAACATTTGTCTGCATTTATGTGTATTTAAACAACGCTAAACGTTCTCCACTATTTACCACTTGTGCATTATTTATAGTGAAACAAATCAGGTTGTCTTGAGACGTGGCGTCTACCAACACAATCGACATATGTTTATGTATTTTGAGGAACTGCCGGCTATAAATTATTTGAAAAACACCTCTGCTATAGATTTAACAGAAGCAAACTGTGGGTGTGTGTACAGAAGTGTTAGTCACAGAGAAAGACAATAGCGCTGCCACAGTTTAATGGACAGAATCAATGTTTTGTTTTCACATTATTAGAGTACGTATATAGCACTGTTTTTACTCTACGTCTTCACTCATGTATTGTATTGCAGTCTCATTTAGCCACTTACAAAGTTAATGTCAGCGAACTCACACAAAAGTTGTAGTTGCAGCATTTAGTATCATACATATTTCATCCGTAATTCCTCGCAACTGCATATTTCTCCCTCACCGATGTGCTGAATTATACATGAATCAGGCTCGAAGCAAAGCTGAGATGTACGACCTGTTACAAATCCCCCGTTTCCTCGCCTGCAGTTTTTTTGCTCATACTTAGTATGTTTTGTTGTGAAAACAGTCAGATTTGCTCAATGTGGTGGTAACACAATGTATTGTAACTGTTTGAAAGAGCTGATTAACAATTAATCTGTGTAAAGCCTCGATACATTTTTGTGCATATACTGTATTACACAGCAAAACGCATCGATCTCACATCAGGTGTTGTTGTTTGGGTGCAGCAGGCAATAGTTCTGAAATGTAAAGTGGTAAAAAACACTTTACATTTTGAAGTGATCCTTAAAGAGCAAGAGGAGACAAGAAAAGTCACATCACTGAAAATAGTCAATATCAGGAGTCGGTGACAGGTCTGCTCTGCCTTTGTCTTCCTTACTTAAATTAATCACACAATCCATTTTCAAATTGCTTCACCCTCATCCAGCCACTGTGACACGGTTTTCAAAAAAAGGGATCACTTGTGCCCTCTTGAGAATAGTTTGCTCTTTCCAGAAGTTCACATTTGCTGTTTGCTGACAGTTACCCAGACAGGACGAGCTGCCTCCGTCTCTAATGCCTGACACCTTTTTTTTGGCATTATCACAACGTCTGCCTGTATATTATTCAGTATTGACTGTGTTTCTCATGGGTGGCAGCTTTTCTTTGTGACACAGTAGACAAGGTTGTGAACAATGGGCGACACACCTAGTTAGACAGAAATGTGAGGAACAAAAGTCAACTAGAATGTCACTCAGTGGAGCACATACCTCCGCTAAGACCCAACAGTCCCCTTAAATTAAATCAAGCTGTACCAACCTTAACACATTCATGCCTGTTTTAATTTCTCTATCAAGATCCATGAAATATTCCCTGTGGACAATGTTAAAAAAAGAAAATCCAGAATCTGCCCCCTGATCTGGATCTGACCCGACTCCTACCACATTGCTCCATCATGTTTCATAACTGACAGGCATGACAACATGACATGAGGTAAAAAAAATGCTAAGTAGTACGTTTGAATCAGAAGACACGAATTGGCTTCAGAATCGATCTGTCTGAAAATGTAATTTAAAACTAAGTGTCGCCAGCTTTTCTTGTTTCTCTATAAAGAAGTTGACAAGTCAATAACACTTCTCTCGATTAAAGTCTGTGCCTTTTGACACATTCTCTAATTAAAGCTCTTTTAACAAGCTTAGGCCTTATTAATAAGTTGCACTTCACCTCTCCTCTCTCTATTGTTTATTCACTCGGTGAGACACAGCCGGTCCCCTCCTCCTTTGGTAAAGAGAGAGAAGGACAAGACAGGAAAAAGCTCAAGAGGAAGCCGGCGCTTTTTTGTTTCTCGCCCAGCACATGACGAACTCTTGAACAGTGCTGTGAAGGCAGCATGACGGCAATGAGTGAGATATGGTGGCTTTTGAAAGACAGGTTACAGGAGCTGGGCTTTCTCTTTGATTGACAAGTGACCTCTATCATTTGTTTCTGTGAACGATACTAACCTGGTATGATGGGGATTTTCCAATGAGGGATCTGGTTCACCACTGAATATTTAAGCTATTTCCAACTGTCCCCATTTATTCCTGAGCCGTTCGCTCTACGCTGAATTATGACTTTCCTGCTGGACCACAGCTTTTTATACAGAATGCTGTTTGGTATATGTTTGTGTCTGTCACTCCTCAGAGAGCCAAGCCGGTCGAAGTCTTAGTTGCCCGTCTCTCCGCCAAACTGTATTTCATCTAAACCACTCTGATACGTTCTGCAGCACTCTCCAGACAGAGTGTGATTCTTTCTCAGTCGCAGTATGGTCATGTTTTCTGTGCACAGAGAGGCAGTGAGCGCTGATCACATCTCTTACATGTGTTCGTAATCTGCAGCCTGTACCACACAACAAAATGTCACACAAAAGCTTAGATAATTACAGTTAGAAATAAAGCCATAAATGTAATTAAATGTAATTGATTTTCTACCTTTTCAGGAAGCCATTTGTTTCTGTTTATTTCTCTGTGTGAAACTTACTTTGTACAGACATTTAAATTAACTGTGTGGTGTAGGTAATCCATCATAATGAACATTCTGCCGCCTGTATGGGGAGTATAGGATTTCATTTTGTTTTTTTAAGATCATATGGCAGATAAAAACAGCGAGCTGCCTGTGCTGTTGTGAGGACATCAACAAAATGAGGCTTGACTGTTGATTAACTACCTTTCATATCACATTAAAATTCATTTGGCAGACATCTTTGGCCACAATATCTTAAATGTTTTCTGAAACTGAACTACCAATATTATGATCCATGTACGACCCTATCAGCTACAGCACATTTTACTGGTAATGTTCAACAAAGAGTGTAAAGATACAAAAACAATACAAGTAACATGAAATCTCATCAGCTGAGATGCTGCAGCTCATAATGGGACACGACTGCATGTGCTGTATTTTTACTATACTAATTTATAAGTCTAGGTCAGGATGGTTTCATTGGACAAACAGTGTCCACAGGTGTCCCTCCTTATTGCTTGTTACACAACATTGTTATAACATTTATAACACATTTTCTTATTATTCTGTCATTTGGTGGCACTGGTCATGTGTCACTGACTGTTGCCAGGGAAACATGGCTCTTACAGTCGAGAGTTAGTCTGGGACTATAGTGACTTTATATTCTGAAACTTTCTAACATC